GGTTATGAGGAATTTGAAAGGCCCGCTCACAAGAAACTCAAAGCTCTACGTAAGTCAAATCGCGCACCACAACGGTTTCAGCGAGCCTCTCAATCGAGCAAACGTTCATTTCCCACCATGTGTTGTTCAAACTATAAGCAATTTGCTATAACTGAGCCAAAGCGTCAAGATTGAGGTTGCCAGATTTTTATATCGCAGAGACTGTCATGATGACGTTTAGCGCGCGATGTGAATCACGTATAGCATTGAGTTTTCATGAGCGGGTGGTTTGAATTCACGCATCAAGAATCATTTAATTTCTTCGTAAGGAGTTGATTTCGGTAGTTTTTGTTGTGCGCATCGTGTTCTACGTGAAATTTCGGTTCAGAAACCTGTCTCAGAATGCTGAAATTCGTACCTTGTCTAGTGGTCCATTTTAAAATTTGACTCGTTCGAATAAAAGTTTCGCTCGTAACGTCTTTTTCCGAGGACGGACGTCCCTTACAACTCAACGAATGAACAGTAGGCTAAAGAATACACTCTTAGCATTAAATTTCAGCCGTACGACTAAACACCGAAGAGTTACATCAAGTTGAAAGAAAAAAAATGGCAACTTTGAAAGCGCATGATAGCTCACTTACAAAGTGTGTCCGAGCATATGTGTTTAGGACACAAAAGTCATATTCTGAGCCGAAAAATAGATTCTAGAAGGTAAGTACGGAAACTTCTGGTTACCCAGTACATCCAATTAGACAGGGCCGGATTAAGGGGGTGGCTACATGGGCCGCGGCCCATGGCGGCAAATTTAGGGGGCGGCAATTGTTGTAATTTTTTCAAATGTAGGTATCAAGAAAAAAATCTGATTCAGAAAAAAAAAATCACGAATGAGATAAGGCGAAAAAATCTCTCATATCCTGAGAGTTAAAGTATAGTAATTTCTAATTTGTTCGTATTTCGGTGATACAAGAGACAGCGCCTTTCATTAGTCTAGTTGAGAGAGAAACCAAACACGCAATTTGGCATGGAGCGGCACGGTGCAGAGAGCAATGATGGCGAGAACTTGAGATGGAAAGGAGAAGTCGTACCGGCGCAACGGTCAGCATCAAACACATATTAGCGCCTACAAGACTCCATGAATACTTCACGCATTGCGTCAAACGTAGTGCGGTCAGCAGCGGTTGGCGTGAAACTCTGAGTGCCTACAAGACTGCATGAATACTTCACGCATTGCGTCAAAAACAGTGCGGTCACTTGGTCAGCAGCGGTCAGCGTGAAACGCATAGCGCCTACAAGACTGTAGGGATACTTCACGCATTGCGCCAAACACAGTGCGGTTGGCGCGGTGGCGGAAATTAAGACCATTAGACCGTACATTCATGTTTATTCTTATTCATAATTTTTTCGTTCTTTTCTTATAGATGAAAGGCATCGTCCACACACAGATAGGTCTATGGAACTTAATTTTCGAGCAAAGTTTCGTGAACTTTTGCTAGTGTTGACAGGGCTTTCACCAAAAATGTGCCAATAGCGAGTAAACGCGTCTTATGTACCCCTCCTCCACCTGATGGTTTCTATGGATGTTTCAAAACGAATGAGATGGGGCGGCAAGAAGGTAAATCCGGCCCTGCAATTAAAATCTTTATGCAAGATAACAAATGCATTTGCAGGGTTGCAATTTTAGGTGGTTGGAATTTTGGCAACGTTCGAAGGGTCATACGGCGTTTTTCCTCCCTCCTCCGCTCGTCGACGGAGCGGGCGGCACGGTGGTCAAAGCAATGCACCAATGCGATTCCCTTGACTGCGTCCATGGTTGCCAGATAGTTCTGATCCCTCGTTTGAACCCATGCAAAATATCCACAATCTGGCAACCTTGACTGCGTTGGCGGGTGCGCTGCTTGCATTGCATAATTGATCTAAATCGGCAAAAAATGCAGAGGAGGCTTATTCAAGCGACTCGGCCGAGGCCCGTGCCGCTGGTTTGCGATGGATCGATTCATTTGCCATTTCACCTCTGGAAAAAGATCGATTGTCAGGATATACCATGATAATCGATTCTTTACCATAGATTCTAATGAGGAAATATCGATTGCTGATGATTCGCACCTCGCTACTACGCTGGACCCGCGCGCGGCACAACACTGGACTCCACGCAACGGGGATCGCGCGATGAAAGTGAAATGGACAGCTCGGCACTGCCGCGTTCCGTTTCGAACGCCCGCGGGCTGATTATTGACATCGATGGACAAAGCTATAGACAAAGATGACGAATCGAAAATGGAGCCATCCTATCGGTGGAAGCGGGTTGTTGTAATGGACAAAGGAGGTACGTAATAGACTAATTCACGGCAACCCTCGAGAGCTCCTTTTGTTAGTCCATAATTTTAGTCCGTGGTCTGTTAAATTGAAAATCACCCGATTCAACCAATGTGATCCCTCCAATTTCTCTTGGGCTTCTTAGTCTATTGCTGTCTCTATCCATTTCTATAATTGGACCGCGTTAAGCAGAAAGTAACCAAGCCACATCAGCTATTGCCAATTTTAATTTGGCACTTAACACTTTTACCGAAAAACGAATGTGGGGATTTTTGTGCTGATTTCGGTGAATTTTTTGCATGGTTCGAAGTACATTCCCGTAAATTTTCAAAGGAATCTGCACGAACGTCCTCTTTAAACAATTAAATTTCCTAGATGAATTTGGCAATAGCTGATGTGGCTCGGTTCCTTTCCACTTAACGCGGTCCAATCAACCCACAAGGGCAAAATCCTGACTGAGGCGAGAAAATTCAGCTACAATATGCTTAAATTTGGTGAATACATGCAGTGAATACAGGGTTTCTTTCGATTTTAAAATTCGCCGACTTTTCTGAATTCCTCTAATTTGTTCGTGTTTTTCGGTATGATTTCTCATAACGATCATTTTCACGCAAAACATCAGGCGTGAAGTCTCCCGGAATTGGGGGAAAACGCAATGATTAAATTGCATCCTCTGCAGTCCCAAAAAACAATCAGCACACTTAGATCACCTCCTAAATCTAGAAGTGATTTACTATTACCGACTACCTACTGGCGTAGTACATCATTGAACCTACTTCTGCCACACGGAACTATGTGCATCAAGACAGGAGCCTTGAGAGCCATAAGATTATATGCATAACAAGCTCACGTCATAATGCACATAGTTCCGTTTGACAGAAATACGTCCCTTCCCCGCCGTTTTGGCACGTTTGAAGTTTCTTCGACTCTGGACTTTTTAAAAGCAGGCTTGTCGGCATTTTGGCTCCAAAAATACGCAATAAATCACCACGTAATCTACTAACCTGGTACTTCCAAAATACTTATTAAAATACACATTAAAAAACATATATTCATTCTAACGAAATACAGTAAGCACATGAGGAGCACAAAGCGTCAGCTTCAAAGCTTCTAAAAAAAAAATCCAAAAAATCCTAGGAGCTTCAGTCCATTCTTCCAGAAAACGAATAGAAAAAAATGGGTGCCTCTGGCTGGACAGGATCTGATCATCCAGAGCCCGCACTCTCATTACAAAGGTACTCCACACTGAGTCAAAATTTCAACGATCGGACTACAGATCCGGAGTAAACACACACATTTTTCACCTCCGCCAGTGCATATCGTAACAAAATTATTGAGTTTTCGGCTTCTCATAATGAAAGTAATAAATACTGAGCTTTAAGCCGGTTTTCTTCTTAATAGTAAGTAAACTCAGGCCATGCTTACAAAAACAATGTTCTTTGCACTGATGAAGGTCATTGTCATGGCCGACACGTTTGCCATTATCACCATGATAAGGTAATTTTTAAATAAACATAATCTTGCTCTGTTTTCTTTAGCATGGCGTGAGTTTACTCATTTCTAAAAATAAAATCGACTAAAAGCTCAATATTTGTTTCTTTCATATATTGTAGAGTCCCGTTTTAAAGAGAGTTGGGACAACGCGACTTATGGACGTCACAACCGGGAATAAAGATTACACAAACCGGACGTTTTTTGTAATCTTTGATCAACCTTTTCCTGGATTCCTATCTCCGTTCCCTCTCTCATTCCATTTGTTCCTTCCCGTACCCCCAATTCCCTGGTCCATTCCAGTTTATAATCTTTGCAACCGGTGAAAATGTAATCTTTATTACCGTTTGTGACACTGTGAAGGAGCATAATGCGGGAACCAATCAGAAATAGATTCACATTGTCTTTACTTTTAGTATAAAGGGACTCTACTATATTGTTGTGATCAAAGATGTATTTGACAATCTGACAACAGTGCGAGTNGGGGGGGGGGGGGGGATCGCACGAGGACGTTCACCCGTCGCGATGCGGCGGCGCGGCGCGGGTCACTTTTGTCATAACTCGCTCCGCACCGCAGCAGTCGCGTCGTATAGGGCACCGTTGCCTTTTCCGCGGAAAAACTCCCCGGAGAAGTCCCATAATTCTCACGGAATGGCAACGCCGCGTTTAGTATTCCTGAAGCGTTTTCCACTATCGAAAGGAACCCCGTCGAACCGCGGGAGGACCGTTTAACGCTGAGGAACTCTCGTTCGGGCCGATCGCGCCTTACGAATGACTGATGCAACCTGTGCGGATACGGAGGTCGAGGAAACTATTGCTCCCGGATTTTAGTGTAGGGAATATTATTCGAAAAATTCGATTAATCGATTCGATTTTCCTCAAGAATCCGATTTCACCGGTTGAAATCGTGACAAAAATCTGTAATTACGAAGGCTCAATTTGTACTCGAACATTTGAATACAAATTACTGGGAAGTTTGCAATAATTGGTGTCCAACTTTGCAATTCTGGGAATTGCGAAGATTCCGAGTAAAGGTGCACTCAAAAAAAGGTGTGACTCTGAGACCCATAAAAAATGGCTCGGAGATCCATAATTTCTAACCGGAGGGACTTACCGTCTACAGCAAGATAGGGATTTACCTAGGGATTTACCGTTACAGTAAATTTAAGATTTATAAAAAAGATCTTTATTCTTCTTTAGAAATAAGAATGTGAAGAAATGTGAGATTCCAAAATAGTGCTAGTTTTACAATAGAACAAATAACATTTTTTTATGATTTTTCGTTTTTGACTATTTTAAATACTTGACTTGATGACTGGATTTCTGAGCCATACTTTATTGGTCGTGAACCTATAAGCATGGCTCCACGAACTATATTGTATGGCTCCATGATCCATAACTCGGCCGGCAAGTCACTCTTCTCATACTTGTTTTTTGAAGGTGCGAGAAATTATAAAAGTTCTAAAGTTCGGAACTAATTCTTGGAAATGTCAGCACTCTTACTGTCAGATGTTATACTATCTTGTAACCAGTGCTCTCATTCCATGTCCGTCGAAAGTTCCGGGACTCGGAACTTTTTTGCTCCAATCCTCCCACTCCATACCTTCAAAAGTTCCGGGGCTTTTCTTACATTTTTCAAACGCCCCCAAAAAGTTCCGGATAACGCATAAGATCCGGAAAATTTCAAAAATTCCCCGAAAAATACAGGAAAATCTCAAAAGTTCCGGAATTCTATACCAGTTCCGGGAAATGGGAGCACTGCTTGTAACTATCATTTCTAAACTTGTTGGTTTTGTTTGTGTGTTTCAGTCACATTACGCGGAGCACAACGTGGGAGGACCCGAGGAAAGCTCTGGCGGCGCAAGTGCAGAGCGTGCAGAACCAGCTGGCGGCCCAGTGCAACGCGGCAGCGGCGGGCGGCGGCGGGAACCAAACCTCCGGCTCGGATCAGCAGCTCTCCTCCTCCACAACTTCAGTCACATCCCCAGGTAAAGCCCCCGACAACCCCTCAGCTTCTCGCCTTCTTCCAATCTTGGCCCCGGGTAATCACAGGTCTGCGAAAAACAAAACGAAAATTGTTATAAAAATGCTGGGCATCTAATGCCATCACCAAGACTTTAACGCTGAGTAGAAAAGTTGGATAGGGCGAAACGCGTGATATGACTATTTCGACTTTCAAGTAGGTACAATTACATATCCACAAAACGGATGGGAATATGCTCTCTTTTTCGCTGCCGCAGAGACTTTAGCCCAGAGTAGAAAAGTTGGTTTAGTCGAAACGCGTGATGCAACCCCTTCGACTCCCAACTCCCAAGTGGGTATTATTGCACATCCCCTAAATGACAGGAAGCATGGCCTCATTTCTACTGATCCGGAGACTTTAACGCTGAGTAGAAAAATTAAATGGGACGAAATGAGTGAGGGGGTATCCGTGGCTTTCAAATTTTAATCGAGGAATTTGTCTGTGGGATCCAGAAGAATCAGAAAAATCGAGAATCTCAAACACCATGCCCTCATAGCTGAATCTGAGAACGGACTCGGTTTTTCCTCACCATTCATAACTTTTTCAGAAATTCAGAAATCAAATGTCGGTAAAATACGTTTTTTTAAAAGGAAAATTTCGGTTTTTTGGATACAATTGGCGAGTCCAGGATTATGACCAAGGACATTTTCGGACTCGATGCTGTACGGATAGCACGAGACCCACAATCAGATATTAGATGCCCAGCACTTTTCTCGAGCAGACCTGTGTAAAGTTTATTTTCCAAGCAATTAAATGCCTTGATAAACCTGGTTTCAGAATCAGCGAAATCAGTAAATCAGTCAATGAAAGCACTACGTATCAATGTCTCGTGTTTCAGCTACGTAGGGAACGACATCCTCACGATGAATTATGGAATACCTCTGGACAAGATATTTAATGTTTCTTGACGCGTGAATTCAAACCTCCCGCTCATGAAAACACAAAAGTCTACGTACGTCAGATCGCAAACTAGACGTTACTGTGGCAGTCTCTGAGATACAAGAATATGGAAATCTCAATCTTGACGCTTTGGCTCAGCTATAGCAAATTGTTCACACTTTGAACAGTAAAGGGTGGGAAATGAACAATGTTTGAGAAGCCGGCCAAAACCGTTGTAGTATGCGATTTAACTCAAGTATAGAGTATTGTGTTTCTTGTGAATGGGCAATTCAGTTTCCCGTGAACAATGTAAAATTAAAACGTTAATATCTGATTTCAGTTATTTTTTATGCAAAAATCGTGTTCTACGTAAAATTCTGACTAATAAATATGTATCAGAATGCCTTAATTCTTACCTTGTCTTTTGGTCCCCTCCCTCATTTATAACAATAAACTATTTTCATACCGTACGTGGAAGCTAGGATATTTTTTTCGGAAACAACATGCCCGCCCATCCACTACCTAGTAACGCTACCTCTATGGTATAAGTTCGTCTCGATTTCTCGGTGGACAGTGACGATCCTTGAAAGTTGGCAACACAGTAGTCTCCCCATTAAATCCATTGAAAATAATCAATGACGAACTAAAATTTTTTTTTTACCCCTAATTGGTTTCTTTATCGTTGTGGGTAGTATAAGTTTCCATCTCAAGGGCCTCTCCACCCGACTCACATTTCGTCGTTTGCCTGACATAAAGGCGTAACTACACTCTGCAATGAACCCTGTCTCCCATACAGTTCAATGTTTTTCTGGGCTCATCTCAATGTGTAGTTACGCCCTTATGTCAGCCAAGCGACGATTTAATGAAAGTTTTCACTGCTCCGCTTCCTCTATTTTTAAGCATCTATCTACTAACAATTGCTCTGCTTTCATTGGCTTTTGCACCTGAAGTAATTTTGAAATTCAACTATCACAGCTAATTTGGCGTGAACTTCTCAGTTTTATTTACGGACAAATCACGTTTAAGTGTCTTGAAATTGGTCTTGATTTTCAAGCTTTAAACTAGACTTTTTCGACCGAAGACAAATTATGTACATTCCGTCCTGCGTACATGCGTCAAAATTTAGAACCAAAAAATTCAGACGACTTTGTCAAGGAGAAAACGATCATTCTTTGTGCGAGCCGCAATCGGAAGATAAACAAGAAATATCATGAATAAAATTCAAAATGCGTTAAAGGGGAACATTGCATTAAGTGGCATGCCAGGTCGCCTTCAATTGTTAGTGTAGGCAACACAAGCTCCCACATGGTCGAATAGTTGTATCATCGTGAAATGACACGCTCAGTATTGTTCGTCCGCCGCGGTAAGGAGGAACGGAGGAAAAAGCCAGGATTACAGGTAACTCCTGGAACGAGAACCTTTTTCGGAATTATGGAAAAATTAAGGAAAGGCGATGGAAAATCTAGAATTTTGAATAATGACGAACCAGTAGACATCTTGAAAACGTTTTGAAAAGAGAACGGAAGATATTTCACGTTTACATCAGTAATTTAAGGTCGATGTTTAGCCTTTGCGCAATTCATTCTATGTCCGACAAATTTATTTAAAATTCTAATTATTAGGGGGAATTATTTCGGAAAAATTGAAAATTCAGTCTCTAGATCAATCATTAAGGAATGTTCGTGCCAGAAAATTATCTTCCAAAATCTTGAAACGATCAAAAGTAAACTGTTTCTGTTTTACAACCGATTTCCATATCTATATTGATGGTTGATCGAAAACAGTACTTTTGACTTTGTTTCAGAATTTTTTCCTATTATATTTTTTAATTGCAAGATTTTATATAATAACAACTAGCTCTTAGATCGTACCCAGAATGTAGTGTACGCAAAGGTGAAGATCCGCCGTTCAAAGCACAAAAGCGCCATTTTTTATGGCGAATTTGCCACGCGCTAGCTCACACGAACCAAATGATCTGCGCCTGACCAGGGCTCGAGAAGCTGTGTATGCATCTCTTGAGAAGAGGAATCTCAACTCCTCTCGGTGATTCCATCTCTCCTCCTAGCGGTGTCTCGCCTCACCAACAACCTCAGAATCGTTCCAGGTAAATATTCCCCCCTCCCCTGCAAGCATTGCCCCTACCGGACCCCCACCACGAGTAGAGTCCCCCTTGGGTTCACAGGTAGCTTAAAGCCACGCTCCCACGGACAGCGCGCGACGCCAATTTGACCGCGTCGCCCGTCTGCCGTGATAGCGAAGAGAGCAGTACTACCGTGTTAAGGAAAAACGTCGTATGAACTTTCGAGAGTTGCCAAATTTCCTCCGATAAAATAATGTTTTCAGAAGGAAGTTATGCATATTTTTCCTAGACATTTTAAGATATTTTAGAATAAACTGCGAACAATGTTGCCTGAAAAATTGGAAGAAAAATATTCATAACTCTTCCAGTAAATTTGTATTTTATCAAAGGCAGCTTGGCAACGCCCAAAAGCTCTTATGGCGTTCCTCCTTAGCACGGCAGAGCAAGTGTCAAATTTTCGAAATCGAGTTTCCTTCGAAATTCGTGTAATTTCTTTAAATGAAATCCCTGAAATAGCGAAAGTAGCAAAATTCTTCATTATTCTATGAAAACGAGACCTATTCGACAGCCGTAAGTCCGCAAAAATGACGTAGTTTCAGGCAAAACAGCCGTAAGTGACATTATCCCTCCAGAGCGCCAATGAAAACAGAGCTTCTAAGTTAAGTGCCGCTCTTTCCTGCGAATCTCAAGTCTGTAAATGTGTTCGTTGTGTGTCGAAAACGCAACCACGAAAGCATGCAGAAGATAGCACTTACGGCTGTCTTGCCTAACATGAAAATGAAAAATACCCTTTTTATATAATTGAAACATGATTGTACATTGATTTTAAGAAATAAAATCGGTCGATTTTGAATCATCTAAACGATTTCCAAGAGTTTTTCGGATGATTAGTTGCAATGGACTACTTGACAAGGTACGATGCAACATTCTGATGCATGTTTTTTAACCTAAATTTCACGTAGAACACGATGTGCACAACAAAAATTACCGAAATCAACTCCTTACGAAGATATTCAATGATTCCTGATGCTTGAATTCAAACCACCCGCTCATGAAAACTCAATGCTCTACATGACTCACATCGCGCGCTAAACGTTATCATGATAGTCTTTGCGATATACAAATCTGGCAACCTCAGTCTTGACGCTTTGGCTCAGCTATAGCAAATTGCTTATAGTTTGAACAATACATGGTGGGAAATGAACATTGCTCGATTGAGAAACTTGCTGAAACCGTTGTAGTGCGCGATTTGACTCACGTAGAGCTTTGAGTTTCTTGTGAGCAGGCAGTTCAAATTCCTCTTAACCAATGTAAAATAAAAACGTTAATATCTTCGTTAGGAGTTGGTTTCAGTAATTTTCGTTGTGCGAATCGTGTTCTACGTAAAATTCTGATTGAGAAGCATGTACCAGATTGCTTAAATTCTTACCTTGTCTAGTGGTCCATTTGACAAAGAACGAAGGGAGGCTGCTTTCTATACAATTTTCCGGTCAGACGCTTTTGAGCTCGTTTTCTCTAAACTTGATTTTTGCACTTACTGCTCTCTTCGCTATCACAGAAGAGTGGCTGTGCAGTATACGCATTCTCTCCCTGTAAAAGTACTTCGCCCACCCCGATAGCGCGGTCACCGCGGTCACCCTCCCGTCGCGTGCTGTTAATGGAACCGAAGCTTACGTAAGAACCTCGCCCAACCGTAAGTGCGCTCTTGATCCCAGACTGTTTTAAACCTACGTCACAAGCAAGTAGCCATCATTCGGAGGGTATATCCACTGACTCTTTCTTATGCTCCCGTGCCAAACAAGAGTGCAGTTTGCGAGAAATGACAGTTAAGGCAAAAGCAATAATAAGTCATTACTTTTAATGTCTCGCAAAACAAGATGCATGGTTTTGTCTTGCGCGAGTCTCAGAATCACTGGAATTGAATGATATTGACTGTGAGCACCTGTTCGCTGGGTCTATCATTTGGTTATATCATCATTTCGCCGGCCGAAGTTCTCCGCGTATTTTTATGCGACGACCCAGTTGCATGCGTCAATTAAAACCGAGAACAATGCTTTATGATTGACGATATAAATTCGAGTGTGTCGTGTAGTTTTCAAATCCAAACAGCGGGCGTTCCTCCGACATGTCTCTATCGAAATCTTGAAAGTCGATTTTCTTGTCTAACTCAACAAAAATCGCTGGAATGAAAATTTTGTCCGCGTGGACTAAGAGCCGGCACTACCACGCCTGGTCAAATCTGCTCGCTATACGTAATAGTGGAAAAGCGTTTATCCTGTCGTCAAAAAAAGAAACCGTTCTATCACCTCTTGTCAGTCACATCTATCCACTGGTTAAAATTGCACTCGTGTACTGGAAAGAAATAGCGACAAAGTTATAGATAAAGCTGTAGGCAAAGAAGAAAAAAGGGATATGGCGGGATCCTAATTGGTGGATTGTGGTTGCAATGGACAAAGGAGGTAGGCAATGGGCTATCTAACGGCAACCCATTAGAGATCTTATGGCTAGTCCTTCATTTCCTCCCTTAGTCTGTAGGAACCACTCATTTTAACCAATCGGATCGCTCCTTACTCCCTAAGTCTTCTTCGTCTAATAATTTCGACAATCAGCTCGCTGTTGCTTGTGAGAGTTGTAGAGATCTAAGATTTAAACATGGTTTGAAGTCATTGGATATTCTTGAAAATCAGCAACGCTCAAATTGGAGGTTCAGTCTGGGGACATCGATGCGTGCGTTTACTGTCGAACTTCAAACGTCCGCGGGACCTTTGAACCAAAACTCCGAAAACAACAATCACCGAAACATACGGCTTTTCCTCATTTTTTTTGTCTTAAACTTGAAAATTGTGCCGTTTTTTACTGTTTCTATAAAGGCTCAACAGTCATCATTCGCATCGATGCCCCCAGACTGAACCTCCAGTTGGAGCGTCTGGAACGGGCAATTGTTTTTCCTCCTTTTAAATGTACGTAAAACAATCGATTCTCGGTGAGGCAGCTTGCTTCACCTGTAATCGATATTTTCAATGGATTTAAATGGACGAACAACAGTGTTGCCAACTTGCGAAATGGCCCCTGTTCGGAGACACGGTTTCGGTGCCCAGCGTCATGTCAGGTCAGTGTTCTGTTCTCATCATGCTCTGCCGCGCGTCCCGCCGCACAGTGGATCGAGTCAATCAGAGAGGTCGGACAAAATTAGGAAACTTTAAATGCGTATAATTCCGTTTATACAACACAGTAAGGTTTTAAACGTGGTTCCATTGGTTCTCTCGTGAAATTTTCTTCAAGAAGCACCCCTTGCAATTTAAAATGGGACGAAATGACCATCAAAATTTGCAGTTTTAGTCAAAAATTTCATGTACGACCTCTCTAATTGACTCGACCCCTTGTGCGCCGGTTATCGCAAAAATGAAGCCAGAGGCACACAGTGGATATCGGGTCAATTAGAGAGGTCGGACATGGCATTTTTGACTAAAACTGCAAATTTTGGTGTTCATTTCGTCACATTTTAAATATCAAGGGGTGTTCCCAGAAGGAAATTTCACGAGGAAACTAATGGATCCACTTTTAGAACCTCTAAGTTTTCTATAAATGGAGTTACAAGCGTTTAAAGTTTCCAAATTTTGTCCGACCTCTCCTATTGACTCGATCCACTGTGCGCCGGTTATCGCGAAAATGAAGCCCGGAGCCGCTCAGTGGATTGAGTCAATCAGAGCGGTTGGTCATGAAATTTTTGACTGAAAATGCAACTTTTGGTGTTTAATTCTACTCATTTTACATTTCAAGGGGTGCTTTCAGAAGATAATTTCATTTGGAAACTGACGGATTCCATTTTAGAACCTCAAAGTTTCGTATAAACGGAGTTACAAGCGTTTAAAGTTTCCAAATTTTGTCCGACCTCTCCTATTGACTCGATCCACCGTGAGCCGTATGGCTGGGCCTCAGAAGTCCAGGCGAGCGCACGTGAGTCCATTGTGAACATGAAGGTCATCTACCGGCCTTGAACTTTGCTAACTTCTGCGTCTCGCGTTTGAGTCGAATTCGCCTCACACTCCATTTCTTCGGACCATCGGCCGATCAGGGTTTCCGGCCGTCTGGAAGACCCGGAAAGTCAAGCGACCCGGAAAAGTCGGGGCATTTCGCCAGCAGGGTTTATTTGGATTCAGCGTGATGGGTCAGTTGCGCTCGTCTCAGAAACGTGTTCACTGATGTGATTACTGATTTTATGATGCTTGATTCTTGACGATCAGCTAAAAATATTGAGATCCGTCCAAACAGCAACTTTCTACGGTCATTATAGAGCGAGATATCGCGCTTTAGAAAATTCAGTCGATGACGTCATCCACCGCAGCAGTGACACCCTCGGTAATTTTGGAGGTTAGGTCATGGAGCTTTTAGGGCCCAAGAGGGCAGCCAACCTATGAACTTACATGGGTCAGTTGCGTTGGTCACAGAATAGTATTTGCTGAATGTTTGATGCTTGATTCTTGTAGATCAGCTAAAAATAATGAGCTCCGTCCAATCAGGAAGCTTTTCTTGTAAGGTCTAGTTTTTCAATTTCGTGGACTTAGTTTACGGGTGAAAAGCAAGTAGTCGTTCTCTGCGTAAACTTTGAGGAGACAACATGAAACGTAGTGCTTTTGTTTCAACCCGGTCGACAGTTCTTTTGCCGCTCTTTGCAACTATCTTGGGATAAAAACGGTGCCAAGAATTTTTTTATCTTGTTTGTTGGCTCATGATTTCCAAGTTTCCCTCTCTCACTTCTACAAAGTTTTACATAATATAAAATCATTTATTTAATCATTTATTTTATTCTTCTGTAAAATTCACAAGTCTTATTGTCATCTTGATTATATTGATTTTTTTAATCGGATTGAAATCCCATTTTTTTTCGTATTATTTGTTTCGCCTCACTTTTATAAATGTCAAGGCAGATATGGTTTTTTCTGTTTTTCGAAATGGTGAAAATGTAGTTACGATTCTTTGGCCCGTAATTACCAGTGGCGATTCTTGAAATTCGGCAAAACTGATTTTCCTCCATATAAATGTGTGCAAAAAAATCGATTCTTGCTGCGGCAGCTGTCTCACCTAAAATCGATATTTTTAATACATTTCAATGGAAGAAACAGAATACTGCCAACTTAAAAAATCGCCACTGGTAACTGCAGTTATAACCGTTGATTCTGCACGTAGAGAAACCAGTCTCAGACGGATATCATTATTTGCTAATCTACCATGCTAAGGAAGAACGCCGTATGAACATTCGGGAGTTGCCAATTTTTCTGCGATAAAATGCTTATTTTTAAGGAGAATTATGAATATTTTTCTTAGACATTTTCAGGAGCTTTAGGTGACATTGCAAAAAAAAAATAATCTGAAAAATTGGGGGAAAAACATTCATAAGTTTCCCAGAAAATCTGTAATTTATCACAGTAAATTTGGCAACACCTGGAGGTTCATACGGCGTTTTTCCTTAGCACGGCAGTAATCTAGAGGATTCAACAATCAAAACACGATTCTTGAACCATCTCCCTTCGTAAGGATGAAAGAACCTCGCAAATATTCCTAGGAAGCTTGTTTTTTTATTGTTTGTTTTCACTGGATTGGCGTATTTCTGACGAGGATTTTCGGGGTTTGTCTGTGCAGGAGGCGTGGGAAAGAGTCCGGGGCCCCTTAGTCCAGCTACGAGTCCCGGCTCGCTGGGCCCCCTGCCCGAGGGCTGGGAGCAGGCCCTCACGCCCGAAGGCGAACAATACTTCATCAACCATCAGACCAGAACTACCTCTTGGTTCGACCCCAGGATACGTAAGTGCACTCCACGTCCTATTCTCCCCCGCCCCCCGCCCTCGACTAGTAATACGCACCGATGCCCCCTCGATGGACATTACCTGCTCATTGATTTTCAAGTTTTAAAACATGTGGATGACTAGATTCAGAATGTTTGGTCCAAACTGTAATGTCCGAAATGCAACGTCCAAAGATAGAAAGTCCAAAACTTTAAGTTCAAATTTTAGAGGTTCAAGTACGCATAAATCCATTTATGAAATGCGCTAATGCATCACGTGCAATTTAAATAATATTTACCACAAGTGGTTTTTTTTTTTTTTTTTAGTTTGTTTGTAGCCAGAAAATATATATTTGAAAATTTTTAAGTCAGAGCAACCAAGGCATCCACTGCAAAGTTGTCGTGTGAAACCCATAGTTAAGAGAATGGACCAAACCGAACCTTTGCCGGACTTTTCATGGTTTTGAACTTTTTTGTAGGCCGGAAACATAGTTTTTTGGACGTTGATAGGTTGAACATTCGTGGTAATTGGACATACATTATTTTCTTTAAAATATAAAATTATGATATTAGAGCTTTCCTGCTTGTTGAAATTATTGGAATGTTATTCTCTTTTAGTCAACCATTGAGATTGAGAGTCATTCATTCCATAAGAATCGTCTTTCCAAACTTTTTAGAAATACATAGTTTTCAATTGACCATTAATATCGATTGAACCAACTGTCCTCTTCGGTAACACGATAGTTTGTCCATCGAGGAAGCATTTTCAGCATCCAAAGCGCCTCATCTCTTCATCTATCCTAATACTAACATCTGTAGTTATTAAATATAACATTTCATTTGTAACGTCATTGCCTAGGTGAATCCGATAGGTTTTTGTGACGCAGCACTCCATTTGTTTACCTCCCTCCTCTTTTCGTATGACCCTTAACGCAAACCCAGAACCCTTAGTTTTTTGCACCCCTTGACTTTAATTTCTGCATGTGTTGTTGGTCTTGAGCCTACTTCCTTCAAGTGTTCAAAATGTGTGATAAAATTAGATCTTTGCAATATTTTCAAAACGCCTAACCATCCAGACTCATTCATCATATCCTATTGCCCGGATCTCTCTCATGACCGGAAGAAAGTGTCGTTTACTGCGCTCAACATAGAATGAAAGGGATTATTTAAATCAAATGGGAAGGAAGAGGAAGAACGAGAAAAAACGTTGAAGTTTGCAGCGCACTGCAGAACCTCGGTAGAATTAAAGGCACCATAAATTCGGCGGCTCGGTCGATAAATCTAAGTTTTAGGCGCGGCAGAGGAAATCCGTAATCCCGAAAGCGCTCGTACCACAGAAAAATGTGTTATGAGCACTTGAACGTTGTCAAATTTGTCCTGATAAAACACCTATCTTGCGGTAAACGTATGTTTATGAAAGGGTGTGTCCCATTAAGGAGAGTATTTTGGCCCTAACTTTGGTCGAAAATTGAGACAGCTTAGAATAATGTCGTGTATGGTCAAATTGACTCTTATTCATCTACTCTGTCAGAACTTGTCCTATTTTGAGGTGTTTTTGAAAGGTTTTTGCCTGATTTACCAGCGCAAAGTAGTGAGGTTTTGCAGTTTTCTCGAATAATTGCTCATTTTCGGTCCTAAATTAGATTGTTACTCTTTAGTACACCCATTACATCATATTGAAAGGAGAAAGTGGTAGTCGCTTGTGCTCATACATGAACAGTCTAATTTAGGACCGAAAATGATCAATTATTCGAGAAAACTGCAAAACTTCACTACTTTGCGCTGGTAAATCAGGTAAAAACCCTTCAAAAACACCTCAAAATAGGACAAATTCTGACAGGGTAGATGATTAAGAGTCAATTTGACCATACATGACATTATTCTAAGCTGTTTCAATTTTCGACCAAAGTTAGGGCCAAAATACCCTCCTTAATGAGACGCTTCCTTTTTAGGTAGTTTCAGGGAAAATTTCCACTTTTTACCCATTGTCAAGTGTAACCAAAAATTTTCAGGATCAATGTTCGCATCATTCCCAAAGAGATATCCTACAGGGAGAAAACCAGAATATATCAAACGTTTTCTAATTTCACCCCGCGATTCATTTAGAATACATTTTGCAATAAGGAACTACTATCTCTGGCTCCTCTGTAAAAGCACCTTTCTGCACAGGAAAATCAATGGCATGTATGTTGTTCCTAAAATGAGCCAGAAATAGTGGTTCCTTATTGCAAATTGTAGTCCAATTTTCAGTCCAAAAACATGAAGTTCGAGTAACGTAAGTAACGATAAAGGGATTACATTTTGCACTAAGGAACCACTATCCCTGGCTCTTCTGTAAAGCTCATTTCTGTATAGAGAAACCAATGGCATATACGTTGTTTCTGAGACAAGTCAGAAATAATGGCTCCTGCACTGGAAAAAAAAAAAAAACACATTGGATCTAGAGTTCAGACTCTTAAAAACATCGACAAGAAAAAATACTCTCGATTCAATCAGATTTAAGCTTAAATCAAGAACCAAGCCTTTTAATTTGAGCGGATTTCCTCTTGATTTAAGCTTAAATCTGATTGAATCAAGAGTCCTTTTTCTTGTCAATGTTTTCAAGAGTCTGGACTCTAGATCCAATGTGTTTTTTTCTTTTCCCGTGTGATTGTAGAATATGGTCCAAATACAGGTAGGCTGATTCTGGTGGAATTAGTCCATGTGAAGGCTCTTATGGGTTTGGACGTTAGCGTGCGGTGGGTTTCTGGGCGAAATACGGAAAAAACAAGAGGCGCCCTCCAAAAATAGCCGAGGAGTCGTCACTCCCGTCTGCGCCGGGCCGAAAATAAATCCGCGAGCTCGCAAATTCCGCCCCAGGGCATTCCCTAGCGTTGAGTGAATGGACGCGACTACGTCATCACCACGATACATCGATGCATCGATTCGTCCAAGCCAGGTTTGTCGCAACTAATTGTAAGTGTTGCCGTGGCGTACTCACAAAAACTTCGCCTTTTTCGATTCGAATGTAGCGTGTTTCCAATTTTTTTTTTCGCTCACTTCTTAAGTTTATTTGGCTTCTATTCCTATTTATTTAGTAACTTAGTGATCTAGGAATCTACAGCCATCCATAGACATGAGTTTTTACCATAGAGATTATTTTATTGTCAGTAGACGCATCATCATATTTTGTATCAGGGTTAATGAGGGTAAACAACTTTGCTGCTGTGAAACTAAATTTTCATTTTTCCTGAGTTGGACAGTTTTCGAAGCTAGAAACTCATTAATGGGCAGACCCAGAAGAAACAGAGAGCGCTGTTTAAAAGGGTTAATTTACAACAGAGCCTTTCTAAATTCTCATTTTCCCGCCTATCCGTGCGTTAAAGTCACTTGCAAGGTCTTGCCAAAGATTCACTAAGCTATTGAAACCAACCCTTGTATAATATTATTAATATTAATCACAACCGATGTAATTGCTTTCTCTGTCTTCCGTTTCATGTCCACAGATTGAAAGTCAAAACATTGGTCTGGCGTGCTTTGAGCTTTGAAATTGTTTTATGTCAATCGTCAGTGAGATTTTTTATTGTCGTTAAATATACCGCCGCATAGCACTAGAAACACTTCAGAAGTGTCGCTCCAAACCGCCAAGTCCATTCGTTCCGAGTAGTGGTGTGGCGTGCTTTGCGATATATCGATTGATCTGTCATTTAAACCTATGAAAAAGGATCGACAAACAGAGTATTCGCAACGAGCGCCATAATAATCGATTCCATACCATAACTTCAAACGGGGAATAGCGATAATCGACCATTCACGCCGCGCCACTGGCCCCGAGCTGTTTAATGATTGTGATTGTACTTACCGCATCTTGCTCGAAAAAAAATGCAATTTTCCCTTTAAATATCCGTGTCTCAAAGTTGAATCGTCGCGACATATCAGTGAAAAAAGGCCATCTCAGGAAATTCAAAAGAAAGTAAAAAGTCGTCTATAGGGTGTCTTAAGGGGATGTGAGTAAAAATTCGACCAAAATGTAACTGAATATGGAACATGAATGTAATGGGCCCAAAACTATGATTCCCGAGATTGAATTCAGTCTCATGTTCTTGAATGCTTACTTTTATCACCATGAAACATTGTTCGCACTGCGTCGTAGGCTATAAGTCAGCCACTCCATTATTGCTTGTTGTCACTCCTCTCTTTTATCAAATTTCTTATCAGTTCGCATTGAGCCCATGTAGAACAATGTGAAGTGGGTATGACTCACACTTTCATAGGTGTCCGACATAATGCGGAAAAATGAAGGAATGGTGATTAATTCACTTGAACGTTCGATTATTCGGCAGTGAACGTGATCTAAATCAATCAATTACATACATTAATTGCAACATCTGAAAGTTCGTACTCGAGTATTTGCTTTCTTAGCTTTAACATCTGAAAAAACAAATCTGGTCTCGATTGATCATATATTGTAGGAATAACATTCATGCATTCTCTGGGAAGTAGGTAGATTCAAATGAATTAGGAGATAGGGAGACAGTGGCGACTCTCTAAAGTTGGCAATACTGTTTTTCCTCTGTTTAAATTTATGTAAAACAATCGATTCTTAGTGAGGCAGATATTATCAATGGATCGAATTGGTCGATATTTTTAATGGATTTAAATGGAGGAAAAATAGTGTTGCCAACTTGCAAAATCGCCATCGGATGGAGACAGGGTGAGAAACTACAGCATTGCTCCCGTGCTAAAAAGGAAGAACCAAAATGCCAAATTTCCCCCAATGAAATGATTATTTTTGAGGAGATTTATGGATATTTTTCCTTGAAATTTTCAGACACTTCAAATCAAATCACAAACAAAATTATCTGAGAAAATATTCACGAATTTTCCTGGACATTAGTGCTTTTTCAAAGGGAATTTGCGGTATAGCCCCTTCAAATAAAGGTGACAATTCGACAGAATTCAATTGTTTTCGCTCGAGAAATTGATCCAAATAAAATTTCGAAAATCGTGGAAGCGAAATCTCAAAATCGGAGGGCGTCAAAGGTAAGGTTCCCCTCTCGCCCCTAGCTCCGCCCATGCTGACGTCACACTTTAATGGCGTTCCAAGGAAAAACGCCGTATGAACCTTCAGGCGTTGCCAAATTTCCTCTGGTAAATAACAATTTTCGGGGAAATTTGTGAATAATTATCTTCCAATTTCTCGGATACTCTTTTTTGCAAATTTGCCTACCAGTTCCTGAAAATTTCAAGGAAAAATATTCGTAACTTTCCTCCAAAATACACATTTTATCGAGGTAAATTTGGCAACTCGCGAATGTTTATACGGCGTTTTTCCTTAGCACGGCAGTATAGCATTAACATCTCGCTCGCGTCGACGATGTGAGAAGTTGAAAGCTCAAAGCGAGGATCATAGGTCACTCAGTATAAACTTTCGTACACACGAGCGGTTGAGCCAAATCATTTTTTTAATATAACGGCCGCACGGGGGGATTTTTGATGGGCCCTTTCACCGCGGGTCCAGGGCCCGGTGCCGTTGCGTGTCGCAGGCAAGAATCGAGAGTGAACCGCTNGGGGGGGGGGGGGGGGCTTCGTCTTTGACTTCTCGTATTTGATTGGTGGGTGGTTGTCGCAATGGGTTACACGGCCGTTGTGTAATACATTTATCGAGAGTTTGGTAACTGATAATTTCATCTCTTATTGGTTCAGACATCCTCGAAGTTTTTACTGGGTGATGAATTGGGGAAACTGGAAATGTCGGGGAGTTTTTCCCAACCTTGAAAAGTTAGGAAATTTCGCCACGGGATCTTGAGATCTTTGCTTCCAGCCGAAACATCACATGTCTCCGATTTCCATAGGTTTGACGCTTAACATTTCGCGTGGAAGAATTTTTTATACGATATTGTGCCTATAAAAAAGTCAGTTGCGCGACGTGAATGGTCGATTTTCGATCCGTCCCCTTTTGAATCTGTGGCTAAGAATCGCGATTATCAAGGTTTTTGTTGTGAACACCCTGTTTCTCGATCCTTTTACATGGGTTTAAATGACAGATCAATGTATATATTGCAAAGCATGCCTCGCCACTGCAAAATTTATCCTCCTGCATTTATACTCTCGCTGTAAACATAATCCAGATGAACAGGAAAGATGCCCCCCCCCCCTCCACAGATCGATCAAGGGAGGGAAGAAGAAAAAAAAATAGAGGCAGAAAGGGATTGAGAAACCAAAGAGGGAGAGGAAGTAGAATAAATGTAGACATAAGTACAAGAAATAAGAGAATCTATCTAAGGAGAGTAAGATCATGTCAAAACAGAATAAACTCCTTCATTTTGGGAGAACGCAACCAGGACGTCCGTGAAGCTCGAATAGTTGTATGCAGGCGCCGTTCGCGCATCTATTGCGTTCTCGGCCGAAGGACCTTGTACAACTAGAATACCTGTAAAAAGAGCATGGATTTGTCAAAACATGGAGCTCTAATGACTCAAAAAGGCAACCAACTTTCTAGTGGCGTGGCGTGCTTTGCGATTTATCGATTGATCCGTCATTTAAACCTGTGGGTAAGAATCGATAAACAGGGTGTTCGCAACGAACACTTTAGTAATCGATTCTGTATCGCAGATTCAAATCGGAAAATATAGATGATCGATCATTCTCGCTTTGCCCCTGCAACCTTCATACACGAAAAACGATGGAAGAATTCCGCTACTAATCTTCAGACTCTAATATCAAACCATGATGGCCAATGGCCAAGTATGGTCATAAATGAGCGTCCTTTTGCAAAAATGACTACAATTCTTACAAACCAGGAAGTCCACCGTCAGTAAAAACCAGGAAATATTTATGAATTCGATGGTATCAGTAAAAGTCAGGAAAATGGGCCATGGATCAGCCGAACTTTTCAAAGCGCGACATCTCGGTAACGTAGAAAGTTGCTGTTCGGACGGATCATATTATTTTTAGCTGATCTAGAAGAATCTACCACCAAAACACGATTCTGTGACCAGCAAAATCAACCCATTTAAGTTCATAGGTCGGCTCCCCTTTTGTGCCCCATAAGCTCCATGACATGACCTCCAAAATTACCGACATTCCCGTATTCTGAAATGCGAGAAGTGCCGACGCCCCCGACGAGTGGTCACTTCTTGTACCCCTTGGCCTGGTGATTCGAGTGCTGATGCGGAGCAGCACGTCAGTGGCGCGCGGACGGCGGCGGCGATGAGAAATCAGGAATCAGGAATCGGGAGGCAGGGGGCGCACGGCTGCCGATGCTGATTATTACTCAAACGAATTGCTCAACGTGGAACGGCTTACGCCGACCTAGGCGAACCCGCCAACCATCCATCCATGCGCCCAGCCGCAACGCCGCACAGCGGGTCGATTATTGAAATTGATAGACAAAGCGATAGACAGAGAAGACAAATAGGATATGGGGGGATCCTATCGGTGGAAGCGGGTGGCTGCAATGGACAAAGGATGCGGGTGATAGACTAACTAACGGCAACCCACGAGAGACCCGATAATTAGTCCATCAATTTCTCCCTTAGTCTATAAGAGCCACCCGTTTCCACATCGCTTCTTACTCTCTATGTCTTCTTTGTCTATCAATTTCAATATTCAGTCCGCAGTGGATCGAGTCAATTAGAAACGTCGGACATGAAATTTTTGACAAAAACTGCAAATTTTGATGTTTATTTGGTCACATTTTAAATTTCAAGGGGTGCCTTTGGCAGAAAATCTCACCACAAAACTAATGGAACCATTTTTAGAGCCTCAAAGTTTTGTATAAACGGGGTTATAAACGTTTGAAGTTTCCAAATTTTGTCCGACCTCTCCTATTGACTCGATCCACCTTGCGCCGCCGAGACGCGCTTGCGTCTATTCGCTCGTGTCTCCCCTGCGGCTATGCCCCCTACTTCG